CGCAAATTTGAAGACCCGCATTTGCGCTTCAGGGTGGTTATTCGTTTTCAGCATTGGGCGTTGGCGTTGGCGCGCCGTGGGCCTTCGTTTTAACACAGTCAGGAGTTCCACGGATGGAGTACGGCTCCTTTTCAAATTTGATCTCCTGCCTGAGACTTCCAAGTCTGACGGTGCATGCAAACTTGTCGGTGGCGGAGGCCGCCTTTTCGCGTTCTGGTCATTTCCCCCCCCCCACACGTGGTAGGGACGTGCTGCGGAGTGTGGCAAAAGCACTCCGACAGGACGAGGACGAGCAGCCCCCTCGTGGCTGCTCAAGTTGACTCAAACAGTGATGACTCGATCTGAGGGTCCTGGGCCCTCCTCGGTTCGGTCAACGGTGACAACAACAGAAAAACATCACAGCTATCAAGTGATATTCGGCCCATCTCGCCCCTGTGCCTGTACTGATTATAAAGCCTTTTGGATGTTCGTTGGGATCTCGTGGGGGGACTCGGGGGCCTCTTGGAGGCAGTATTGAGGCCACTTGGGGGCCGTTTTGGAGCTTCTTGGAGCCTCTTTTGCGCCTCTTAGGGCCTCTTGGGGCGCTTTTGGCCCGTCTTTGGCCCCTTTTGGCGCCGTCTTGAAGTCCCTTTGTGCTGTCTTGCGCGGCCTTTGGTCCGTCTTGGGGCGCTTGCAGGCCGTCTTGAGGCCCTCTTGGAAACCTCTTGGGCTGTCTTATGGTGGTCTTGGGTGCCGTTTGGGCCGTCTTGAAGCGCCGGGAAAACAGAAAAGGCGAGAACGCCAAAATCCTTCAAACACCTGGGACAAATCACGGCTTTTTGCCTCTTGGGGCCCTCTTGGGAGGCCTTTTGGGACGTTTTGGAGGCCTTTTGGGCCGTCTTCGGGTCGTCTTGAGCATCTCGCGCCGATCGTTCGGCGACTCGGGGTCCTATTTGACCGTCTTCGGGGCCTCTTAAAGCCTTCTTGGCCTGTCTTGGGGCCCTCTTGGCTCCGAAAGTCACGCGAGAAGCCGCGTGAAGTCCCAGGGGGCACGCGGAAAGCCCCGAGAGGTTTGGCAATTTGGGTTCCGGGCCCTTTGAAGTATCCTCAGGAGTGTTGAAGGACTTAGGCGAAGGACCTGAAGACACGCCCATTCCGTGCCCAGCGGCACGGTGGCGGATAAAATCGTACAGAAACAGCGCGGGTGAACGATGCTGCATTTTGACATGAGATTCTCGTTGGAATTGTTGTACACACGTTGCGCGGATGGTGGGCGTTTTTTCGTCAAAGTGGGGCTGTCGATGTGCACTTCAAGAGTGATCATGTACAACCGCAGATTGTCGCGTTTCTTGCAGCTCGAAGGATAGAAGGCTCTTTCTGTCCAAACGGATCTCCCGCAAGACTGGTGGGTCCGTTGGAGGCTCGTTTTCAAGGGGATGCGTTTCGCTCAACGGCAAGGAGTATTGGTGGAGGGAACTCGGGAAGGTAGGGTGGTTTGCAGCATCGTTTATATATACACGTCTATATATAAATGTATGTATGTATGTATGTATGTATGTATGGATGGATGGATGGATGGATGGATGGATGGATGGATGGATGGATGGATGGATGGATGTATTTATGTACGTACGTATGTATGTATGTATGTATGTATGTATGTATGTATGTATGTATGTATGTATGTATGCAAGTATGTGTGTATGTGTGTATGTGTGTATGTGTGTATCTATATATATATATATATACACACACATTGGGTTTGCGTTAGGTTTCTTCCTTCTCCTCCCACTCTTCCCCGTGCCCTTCGCCTCGAGATCTTTCTCCTCCTCCTACTCCCCCCCCGGCTCCTCCTCCTCCTCCCCGTCCTCGCCTGGCCGGAGGAGGGCGAACGGAGGGCGGCGTTCTACGGGGGGTTGTTGCAGCACGCCCTCGAGTCGGTGGTGATGTTGGAGTGCTACGCCAAGGCCGTCCATGGTTATTGCTCGTTAGATGTCGTTTAGGCCGCGTTGCGGAGACCTGTGCCTTCGTCTGTTTATTTCATCGCTTCGCTCAGTCGGAGGGCCCGTATTGTACTATCGGTGGAGTGTGCCTGCGTGTTCGTGGGACGGTCGGTGTTGCTGGGCTGTGGTCGTTTTCCAGAGGCGTTGTGACAGCGCGCGTGGGCATGACGCAGTTGCTTCGGAGCGCGCCGTAGGGGTTCTGGCCTCTACTGGCTCCCCGCGGGGGTTTGTCTGCGTAGTTATTCGCTGTCATTGGTGTGTTGCCGTGCGGCGGCTGTTTGGTAGAGGTGTTGAGTATGCGTCGACGGGCGTTGCGCTGCTGTCTTGCGGTTTCTTTAGGAGAATGAGGGGATAAGGAATTACATTTCGATGTCTCGATATCGGGGATGGGCCTGTGCGGGGACACGATATGGGTATCTCGTTATCTCGATATCGACTGCGGGGCCGAACGGGGGCCCGATAATTCGATATCTCGATATCAGGGGCGGGGCCAGGCGGGGACTCGATATCTCGATATCGGGGCCCTTGGGTTTCTGAGTCTCCTCGGAGAGCTGCGGAGAGCTCATGGGGAGCAGTCTCGACGGCCTCTTAGGGGCCTCCCTCTTGGGGGCTTCTCGCGAGCCGTCTCTTGGGGCCGAGAGCTCGGAATTTCCGTTCAGGTTTCCCCTGTGGGTCCCCTCTCGGGGCCGTCCTGAGGCTCTCTTGGGCCGTCTAGGAGGCGCCTTGGGCCGCCTCGGAGCCCTCTTGGGCCGTTCTGGGGCCCCCCTGGGGGCCTATTGGGCCGTCTTGGGGTGATCTCAGATGTTTCTTGGGCTGTGTTGAAGCGTCGGGGAGCCGAAAAGGAGAGAACGCCCAAATCCATCGGAAACGAAGTAATCGATTCATGTTGCCTACTGGGGCCCTCTGGGGATTGCTCTTGGAGGCCTCTTGAGCCGTCTGGGGGCCATCTTGGGCGTCCTAGAGCGATCTTGTCGTGTCCCGGGGGCCTATACGACCATCTAGAGGGCCTTTGGGGGACCTCTGGGCCGCTCTTGGGGCTTTGGAAGGCCCTGAGGGCGGCGCCCAAGACCAGAACCATCTCTGATGAGACCTGGCCAGGGACCTGCCCAGGACCTGCTCGGGGTACTTTTTGGCCGCGGACTTCCAGGGGCCGCCCCACGCGCGCGTGAACTAGAAATACGGACGACCAGTTACCAGAGAATGTAGCACGCCTTTGGCCCGCTGGGCTGGCGAATTTGCTTGTTTGAGTTATGTTTGTGTTGCGTTGGTGTGTATTTGCTTTCGTGCTATTGTGCTATATCTTTGCGTAGTGTGTAGCCGTACGCGCGCGCGTGTCTATATTGTTCAACACAGTACGCATGTGTACTGTGGGTATGCGCGTACGTCATTAAATTACACCTCTGCTTGCATACACACATGCACACGCGTATACACACATATCTATATATATGTGTATATATATATATTCATATAGCATACAAAGGCAGCACAGCCCATGCGTAGTAGACATGCCCAAACATGTGTATGTGTATATATATATATATATAATGAAGGTCGCACAGCGCATCTGTGTATTATGTCAGGTACGCGCAAACAGATACAACATGCAGGGTTGTGCACCCAATCAGATTTTGGTTTTCGGGGGTTCCCTGCGGCCACGGCCGGACCTGGTTAGAAATGCCAGTCAGAGCGGCGCCCCAGGACCATGCCATGCTAGAGGGGGGGCGGGAAGCCAGCGCCGATCCAAAAAGTCCGCGCGGAGTTCTGCAAGTTTGTGTTTATGCACTTGTTTCTTCCTTTTGTTTTGCCAGAGGTGTCCCTGGCCCGTGGTGCTCCCAGGATGTCGAAGGAGGCAACCGCGGCCTCCAGAGCCCTCCCTCGCCAAGGGCCCTTCCCGAAGTGCCCCGAGCGAGCCCAGGGTGACCCCGATCAGAGGGTGTCAGGTGTGCTTCTGTAGGTCCATTCCCAAACGCAGCGTATTTAGCACAGCACAGCGGGGCATCTCACGAAGCCCATCCCAGTACAAGTAACGCAGCAGTGGCCGAACACGACATAGCATGACTTTAGCATCTCAACATGCCGCGTTCAGATCACGCCACACCGTACCTATACGACCACCCTTCGGGCGATCGCTGAGAGGGGGAAAGGTCCTACTGATGACAACTGCGATAATGGTGATAGTGACGATGCTGGTGATGCGCTCACGGATTGGTGACGATGCGAGACGAAGATGCTGGCGACATTGCGTGACGGCGAAGCTGACGACAATGCACCTATTGGATTGAAAACGATAGGATTGAATTCGATTGGATTGTAAGGGATGCGGTCGAGACACCATCAGGGCATCCCCAGGACACTACGGGGACACCAGCAAGACACCATATTGACACCACTAGGATGCCATCGGGACACTATCGGGCCAAATCAGTGCCACCACTACTGTGCTGTGATGATTGATTGCTGATTGTGATGCTTGGTTGCTGAAGCGATTGCCATCGTCTCCAAGTGAACAGCGCGCCAGTGGCCCGAGCCGGCGGCGGCGCCCACGGCGTCGGCAGAGCTTGGTGCCAAGGGCGCATGCGCGCGTTGCTGTTGCTGATGATGGCAAGGGTGAGGATGATGAGGAGGAGGAGGAGCAGCAGCAGCAGCAGCAACAGGAGGAGGAGGAGGAGGAGGGTGCGAAGAGAAGGATTTTGATCGGAAGAGGGGGGGCAGGAGGAGGAGGTGTTCCCTGGCCCACGTAGAGGCCGCGCTGGACGTGAGCTTGCAGGTCCTTGAGGACGACGGCGCCGTCCTCCCGGCGGCGCTGGCGGTGGCGTCGCTGGCGCTGGCGGACGCCGGCATCCAGATGCGCGACATGGTCGCGGGGGCCACTGTGCACCTGTCAGGCTCGGGTTGTTGTTCCCAACCATGTCGTGCGACTCGGGCCCTCACTTCGAATCAGCAGCGCGAGCCTTCCGCCTTTTTTCATGTTTCTCCTCGACATATGCTCTCCGCGCCCCTATTTCGGTACACCCCTCGCATGTTTTGTGCCCCCAGATGGAGCTCCGCCGACGGCCCAGTGGCACAGTTCGCATGGCGTGGCCGCCCGCGATTCGACACTCCTCGCATGCCTCCTGGCCCACTACGGCCACTTGGGGACGGCTCGGGGTGATTTCAGTTTTTTGATGGAGGAGGGGAGGGGTGCTTGAGGGTGGAGGTTGGAAGCTTTTTGACTCCAGTCAGGCTTTGCGTGAGTCTGCACTTGGAGGTTGGAGGAAGGAGGCAAGAGGCAGGAGTGAGGTGTGAGGAGGATGAGGAGGAAAAGGGGTGAGGAGTGACGAGTGAGGAGGAGGAGGATGAGGAGGAGGAGGAGGAGGAGGAGGAGTTCAGGTGTCAGGCTTGACGGCAGAGGCGTTACGTAGATGGAGCAGGCATGGTGCAAAGGGCAGCGCAAGAGCGGGTCCCAGCCCCTCGGGCCCCACGCGCCGTTTTTTTTTTTTTTTTCTCTTTCTCTTTCTCTCTCTCTCTCTCTCTCTCTCTTTCTCTCTCTATATATATATATGGTCGAGGGTTTGGGCCCCCCCCCCAAAATGCTAATGCCATCGGCCCCCAACCCCCCCCGCGCGATGCCTTCCCCCCTGTGGGCGTGGGCGTGGCGTGGTGGCTCCTCCCCCCCCCCTGTGGATGTGGTGTCGGTGTGGTGTGTTGCTGCAGGTGTGTGCGGGGTGACGCCATGGTCCTCCTCCCCCCCTCCCCTCCGCCCTGTGGGTGCGGTGTTGGTGCGGCGTGTGGCTGGGATTGGCGTCATGTTGACAGCTCCGGTGCTCGACGTCGTCGCCGCCGACGCTGGTGGTGCCGTCGTCGTCGTCGTTTTCGTCGTCGTTGTCGTCGTCGTCGTCGTCGGTGTCGGTGTCGTCGTCGTCGTCGTCGTCGTCGTCGTCGTCGTCGTCGTCGTCGTCGTCGTCGTCGTCATTGCCGTCGTCGTCGTCCTCCTCCTCCTCCTCCTTCTCCTCCTTCTCCTCCTCCTCCTCCTCCCCCCCCATCCCATCTGGGGGGGGGGGCCCGAGGACCCTGGGACCCATCCCATCGGGGGGGGGGGGGCCGAGGAACCGGAGCCCGCGATCATATATTCCTCTTTCGACGTGTATGTATATGTATATATCGGTATATGTGTGTATAGTCATATGTATGCGTACATGTTTTAACACGTATGCGTGTTAGGTATGTGTGTACATGCATATATGTATGTATATGTTTATGAGTATGTGTATGTATATGTATATGTATATGTACGCGTATGTATGTATATGTTGTATGTGTATAGATGTACATCAATATGTATGTTTGATATGGTATGTGTGGTTGCATGTATGTATGCATGTACGTATGCATAAATGTAGGTATGTATGCATGCATGTATGTATGTATGTATGTATGTGTGTATGTAGTAAGTGTATATTGATGTAAACGCGTACATATATATATATACATATATACACATACATAAGAGTGAGGGGGCTGAACCGACCGGTCGTTCACTGTCCCTGGGTGCGAGGCTGAAGTGGAATTCTGCGATGCGGATTATTGTTGTTGTTGTTGTTGAACTCTCATTCTTGAAGAATAATTATTGTTGATCCCCCCCCACCGGTGCACATTGATTTTTTTCGATTGAAGTGCCACCCCCGGGGCTCGCACCTGGTTTTTTCTGAAGGAAAGTCTTCCTGCTCAAACTGTGCCCCTGCCCCCCGGGCTACAACAACAACGGCTCCCGCCTGAGACTTCCTCGATTTTTACTCAGGACCCCCGTTCCCGCCTGAGACTTCCGCGCAATTTACTCAGGAAAGGCGTTCCCGTTTGAGACTTCCTCGCAATGTAATCAAGACCCCCGCTTCCGCCTGAGACTTCCGTGCAATTTACGTGGGAACGGCGCTCCCGCCTGAGACTTCTTCGAATTTTACTCAGGACCCCCGCTCCTGCTTGACATTTCCGCGCAATTGACTCAGGAACGGCGCTCCCGCCTGAGAGTTCCTTGCAATTTAGTGAGGACCCCTGCTCCCGCCTGAGACTTCCGTGCAATTTGCTCAGGAACGGCGCTCCCGCTTGAGACTCCCTCGCAACTTAGTCAAGGCCCCCGCTTCCGCCCGAGACTTCCTCACAATGTACTCAGGACTGCGCTCTCGCGTGCGACGTCCTCGCAAATTATTCTGGAATTGCGTTTCGGCGCTCAGGAACCACGCGCGCGCCAAGGACGCCTTCACAACGTGGTATCTTCCCTCTTCCTTCGTCCTTCCCCCTCCCCTTCCTCCCACTCTCCCTCGTTCTTCCCCTCCTCCTCTTGCAGGGCCCGCGCCAATTCCAATGGCGGGCAGAGAGATGTACGCCCCCGAAGGATTGTCCGCCCGTTCCGGTTTGCCCGTACGTCTAAGCCCGCTGGCCCCAGCAAAGAGAAATAATCCCCCCGAAAGGGGTGTGATCGAAGACGAAGAGGGCGGGTATCGAGGGTGTAGGGTATACGTGTTGAGTGACTCGCGGGCAAGTAAGAGCGCACAGCCTTAAAATGGTGGTTGTTGTTGTTGGTGGTGGTGGTGTTGTTGTTGTTGTTGTTGCTGTTGCTGTTGCTGTTGGTGTTGGTGTTGTTGTTGCTGTTGTTGCTTGCTGTTTGTTGTTTGTTATTGTCGTCGCTCCACCCGCGACCCGCCCCGCGACCACCCGCGACCCACCCGCGACCCACCCGCGACCCACCCGCGACCCACCCCGCGACCACCCGCGACCCGCCCCGCGACCCACCCGCGACCCACCTTGCGACCCGCCCAGCGACCCACCCGCAACCCACCCTGGCGACCCACCCCGCGACCCGCCCGCGACCCACCCCGCCCCCCCGGCGACCCACCGGCGACCCACCTGCGACCCACCCGCGACCCACCCGCGACCCACCCCGACCCACCCGCGACCCACCCGCGACCAACCCGCGACCCACCCGCGACCCACCCATCCCGCGACCCACCCAAAATTTTCGGCGCCTGCGGCGGGTTTCTTTTTGCATTCGTTCCAAGGTGGAGAACCTGCGACCCACCCGCGACCCAAACCGCGACCCACCCCGCGACCCACCGCGACCACCGCGACCCACCCGCGACCCTCCCGCGCCCCGCCCCGCGACCCCCGCGACCCACCCGCGACCCGCCCCGCGACCCATCCGCGACTCACCCCGCGACCCACCCGCGACCCACCCGCGACCCCCGCGACCCACCCCGCGACCCGCCCGCGACCTACCCCCGACCACCCCCCGACCCACCCGCGACCCACCCGACCCACCCACCCGCGACCCACCCCCCCGCGACGCACCCGCGACCCACCCGCGACCCACCCGCGACCCACCGCGACCCACCCGCGACCGATCCGCGACCCACCCAAAATGTTCGGCGCCTGCGGCGGGTTCTTTGTGCATTCGTTCCAGGTGGAGAACCTGCGACCCACCCGCGACCCAAACCGCGTTCAGTGTACAAATCAAAATGTTCGGCGCCTGCGGCGGGCTGTTTTTGAATTCCTTCCAGGTGGAGGTGGAAAGCCCGCGACCCACCCGAGACCAAAACTACGTTCACTGAGCAAGCCAAAATTTCGGCGCCTGCGGCGGGTTTCTTTTGCATTCGTTCCAGGTGGAGAACCGGCGATCCAATCCGCGTTCAGTGTACAAATCAAAATTTCCGGCGTTTGCGGCGGGCTGTTTTTGAATTCCTCCCAGGTGGAGGTGGAGAGCCCGTGACCCCCGCGACCCAAACTACGTTCACTGAACAAGCCAAAAATTCGGCGCTTGCGGCGGGTTGTTTTTGCATTCGTTCCGGGTGGCCCACCAGCGATTCCCCCCGCGCTGAATTTGTCAGAGCACGCAAATCGGCGCCTGCGGCGGGCTTGCTCGCATTGGTTTGGGAAAGCACCTTCGTGCCATTCCCCCGATCCGGCCCACGGGCATTGGAACCGTTCCTAAACATCATTTTTTCCGAGTTGACTCGCGGGGCAGTGGACTGGGGCGTTGAATGTGCGGGCGGCCCAGGTGGGACGCACGTGGTTTGGACGCAAGGAAAATCATCGGTGGCCGATCAGAGCCATGAATTTGGGCGATGGTCTTTGGTTGTGGAGCGCGTCGGGCTCTGGGGCTCGCGCCGCTGCATCCCTGTGTCGTTTCTTCCGAGAAGTTGTTTGTGCTGAAGGTGGCCAATGCATGCGTTCCTTCGGTTCGGGGGCGCTGTCCCCCTTGAGCCCAGCATCCAAACCATTGCGCTCGATCGACAGGACACCTCTGATGGGGAACCCAGCAGCTTACGCTTGTTGGAGGGACGGAGCCTTGAATTTCGTTCTGCGCACGTTGGCCGAGCACGCGCGCCGCACTACGTTCTACATGCGCATTCACCAGTCATTCTGCATTGTCGGCTCAATGAAACTCAATGCATTTCTTTTCGGCGACGATTCCATTGCTGAACTAGCTGATGTTACAGGAGATACCGACGCAGACGACATGGTTCTCGAAAGTGCCCTCTCGGATCTTGGAGTCTAGCCAGTCGGCGCTGACCTCCAGGGGGCTGACAAAGCCTCTCGATCCAGCCGCCCAGATCGGGATCGTGTCGGAGGTCATGTCCAGCTGGCACGTCCCTCGCACAGCGTCGTTGTGCTTGCTGTTTGCAGGCGCTGCTGCCGCTGCAGGCTTCGCCCAGGAGATCGGCCTCGAGACAGGAACTGTAGAATGCAGCTGCGAGGCCCAGCAAGACGTGACGACGCTGTGCGGACTTTTTTCGCAGCGTTCCAAGTCTTGCGGATGAGACCCCGCGGGCTGCTGTGGTGCAGCCCAGAGTGCAGGGCGTGGCTGCAGTTTCTCACTCGCAATACCTTTAAGCGGTGGGAGTCGAATAACTACCACGGTGACGGCAGCGGGGGCGGCGACGCTGCGACGGCAAACCATTGCGCAGCGGTGGCGTCATCGGCTTAGCCAGCTAACGAGGATCACGCACACTACACGGAACGACGTTGCATGAAACACAAGTCAGACTACGACATACCACCGAGGATGCGAATACGATGTTTCGAGCGATCGATCGAAAGCCCGATTTTCACTCGTCGATCGTACCCATGTCGTGTTAAGTTGTGTTTTGTTTCGCCACGGTCGCGGGCCCGCTCGTCCTCCCCGCGCGGGCCACGATCGAAACACAATACAAAACGAGTTGATAAGGTCCTGGCTCGTCTGGGTAGCGCGATCCAGAGGTTGTTTTTTCGTGATCGAGCAGCCCCTCAACAGCGTCATGTGTAAGTTCCCTTTCGTGCCGGACGTGCTCGCGCTATTGAGGGCACGACGGCGCACCATTTGCTTGGCTGCGTTCGGTGGGAGGCGCATGAAGCTTCTCGAACTCCTGGGTGCCGTGCCCGAGGACCCCGGCGATGCACATCAGTTTTGGCCCCCTCCCTGGGGGTGACCTCGACGCGCGCACAGATGTAGCGAACCCCATCGCGGTCCATCGCCGTCCATCGCCAACCGATGGACCGCGATGGGTCGCGCAAACAAATCGTCCTCCTCCTTATCCCCCATCCGCGACCATCTCCCTCCTACTTCCTTGTCCCTCCTTGCATAATCCTCGGCCCCCCGTCCTGCCGCCAGTCCTCCGTCTCCATGCGCGCCCCCCCCTCCTCCCCCTCGCCATCCCCCCCGCCCTCCTCCTCCTCCCCCCCCCCTCCCCGCCCCCCCTCATCGTTCACCTCGCCCTTCGCCCCGCAAGGATCTCATGCGTAGGATCATCGCTTCCACCCTTACTGACGGGCGCGAGCGGCCGGCGCGGGACGGGGTGTCATATGCCCCGCTGACTCGCCGCGTAGGGGGGTCGATTGTCGGCAACCATGCGCAATTACATACGTCGCAACGGTATCCCGACGATTTCGCTGGGGCGATCGCCGGGCTCACGGCGGAACTACGCCTCGCTCGCTGAACCGTGCCCGATCGTAACAAATGAACCTCGCCTCGCGCATGGAGAGAGGCTGGCGACGCCAGCGACGACGGAGGCTCGGACGAAGAGCCCGGGCGTGTCATTGTGACCCCTCAGCTGTCGGGCGCCCCCTCCCCCGCGGCAAGCTCGGATGTCTGCTGCAGTGGGGTCCGCGCTGCGGGGGAGGGGTCGCGATATCACGCCCGAGCTCATCGCCGAACCTCGCGCATCGGCGGTGGGCGACGAACATTCTTGACGCTTCGCGCACCCCCGCCAGCCCATCCAGAAGCGATCAGCAGGGGAGTTGGTGAATCAGGGGCGGCATGCCGCATGCAGTCGCGCAGCCGTCTTCGAGAACACAAGCGTCGCACATGGCTTCCCGCATTGAAGTTTAAGATGGAAACCAGTGCAAATTACGATGGTGCTTCGATGAGATGCGAGGGGTATTTCGATGACTCGTAATGGCTGTTGCACCGACTTGTATCTTAAACTCGCGTGCGTTCCGAAACTTGGAGGCATTTGGTATCCCTCTTGGGATTCTCTTGGGCCCCTCTTGGGGCCTCCTGGGTCTCTTTCTTGGGGCTCTCCTGAGGTCCTCTTAGGGCCGTCTTGGGGCTTCTTTGGGCTCTGTTGGGGGCTTCTTGGAGCCCTCTCGGGGCTCTGTTGGATGGTCTTGGAGCCCTCTTGGGGCTCTTTTTTTTTTTGTGGGGGGTTCTGGGAAGCCTCTCGGGGCCGTCATGCCCCTTAAGGCTAAAGAAGTGTGTGTGTGTGTGTGGGGTGGGGGGGGGGGGAGAGGGGGGGGGGGGGGGGGGGGGGGGGGGGGGGGGGCAATTCTTGCCCCCCCCCCCCCCCCCCCCCCCCTAGGATGCTCAATCATGCCGTCTTCTTGGGACCTTATTGGCCCGCCCTTGGAGCGCTTCTGGGCGCTCTTGGGGCCGTCTCGGGGCTCTCTGGGGCCCCTCTTGGGGCTGTCTTGGGCCATCTTGGGGCCATCTTGAGGCCTCGCGAGCCCTTCGGGGGCGAAAAAGCGAGAAGGCAAAAACATGGGGGTCTTTGGAGGCCTCGGAAGGCACTTGGCACCGCCTCGGGGCCGTCTTGAGGCCTCTTGGGCGCGCGTCGGAGGCTATCTTGACCAGTATACCATTATCTTGGGCCATCTTGGAAGCCATCTTGCGCTCTCGGAGGCCCTCTTGGAGCCATCTTGCGCCATCTTGGACGCTGCTATGCCCCCCCCCCCCCCCCCCCCCCCCCCTCCCCCGTCCAAACGCAGGGGGGGGGGGGGGAGGTAAACCTCCCGAGCAGGGAAATGCAGGAGGTTGGAAAGGGAAACGCCTTAGACCACCCGTGCCCAGGGGGCTGGCGGGATTTCAAGGCGGCTCCAGTTGCGGCGACGGCCGAGCCCCAGGGCCCGACGCGGGCCCGCAGAGGGCACGATTCCGATGTCAAAAAGGAAACGGCGCCGAATATGAGGAGGAGGAGGAGGACGGCGACGCCGACGACGACGACGACCCCGCGGCTGCCCGCCAGGCGAGACATGCTCGGCATCGCGAGCCGCCCGCGCTGCGTGCGCTAGCCGAGCCTGTTTTTTTTGACAGGGGGGTTGGCCGCTACCCCCGCCCCGAGCCGACGGGGGCCACGTGGTGGCATAGATTGGCGGTGGGCGGCGACGTCGACGAACGGCTTCGGAGATGGGCGCACCGACCACCTCTACTTCGCCGTCGTCGTCGTCCACCACCGATCTATGCCGCCGTCATCGTCGTCGTCGTCGTCTACTGTCGGTCTCCTCCGCTGTTTCGTCGCCGTTGTCGTCGTCGCCGTTGTCGTCGCCATCGGCGACGCTGGAGCGGGCGGCGACGACGACGACGCAACGGCGGTGGCGATAAGCGGTGGGCGGTGACGACGGCGATGGACGGAGTCGAAGACGGCGGCGGCGGCGAGGAGGCGGAAGCGCACGAGAACGAGGAGGAGGGCGAAGGGGGGGCTGGGGGAAAGGGAGAGGGAGGATGAGGATGCGGAGGATGGGAATGGCGGAGGCGCAGAAGGACTGGAGGAGGAGGAGGATGTCGATGAAGAGGAAGGGTGGGTGACCAACAGGAGGAGCAGGAGAAGGGCGAGCAAGAGGCGCGGGCGAAGAGCCCGGAGCAAGAGGATTAGCGGCGGCCCGCGATGACGGCGGCCACGGAGGCTCGGACGAAGAGCCCGCGCGCTGTCGCGACCCCATCCTCTGTCGGGCGCCTTCGCCGCCGTGGCTCGCTTGAGCTCTTCGCCGAATCTCGATGGCTCGCCTGAGCTCTTCGCCGAATCTCGATTTAACCACGACGAACGGAAAGTCCCCCCGCGTGACCGCCCCCGAACGCCGTTGGCGCCCATCGCCATCCATTGGGGCCCATCGCGGTCCATCGCAGTCCATCGCTGAGCGATGGACTGCGATGGATTTCGATGGGCGCCCGGCGTTCGGGGGCGGCGGCGCGGGGGAACTGACAGTTTTTCGCCCCCCGCCCCTTGCGGGGGAAGAACCGCCCCCCCCCCTTTTCCTCATGATTTCCTCTTCGCCACCCTCCGCTCTTTCAGCTCGCTCGCGCCGCGCCCCTGGCCGTTCGCGGCCGCCGTTTCAGGCCCGAGAGTTCCAGCTATTAAGCGGGAAGCCCCCCCGAGCCCAGGGCGCTCCGATTTCAATGTGCCGCGCGGGGGAAGCCCGCAGCCCCCCCCCCCCCCGACGCGCGAGTCAGCGTCGATTTCTGGGGTCCCCAGCAATGCTGGGTTGCCTGGTGGCACGAGCGCACGGCTATTGTGCGGCGGCCTCTCAGCGCGGAGGATTGGTCGGGCCCCCCCCCCACCCCTAACGGCGGGGTTGGAGGATGGAGGGCGGGGGAGGGCGTTAGGGTTCTCATGCGTCATGCTGGATGCGCACACGGCTTCAGTTAGTGCCCCGCCCGCCCGACCCGCCCGATAGGGTCCGCCCGACTGACCCGCCCGCCTGTTAGGGTTCTCGAGAGTGAGAGCGAGAACGATACCGATAGCGAAAACGGCAACGATATCATGACATCGCGGACGGGAGGGCTGGGGGCGGATGGGAGGGAAGGCGGAGGGATGGAGAGAGGCAAGGGGGGGGGGGGGGGGATGGAGGGGATGGAGAGGGGAATGACAGATGGGCGGGGGGTGGCGGGGAGGGGGGGTGGCCCGAACAATCTTCCAGAGGAGCACGCGCTCTTGGGGCGCCCTGATCCCAAGTGCGCGCGCTTCCCAGCCCTCTCGTCTGACAGCCAGGGCCCAGAGCTCAACCGCGAGGAAATGACGCAGCTGACGCCGAGCGAGAGAAAGAGGCTCCGTTGGTTAAGGATGAATGTGGAGGCCGATCGGCACCTGCGCACCCGCGACACGTTAGCGCGGTCCGTGCGTTTCGACATCCAGGCGGGGATCGATCGTCTCCACCGCGCCCTGGCAGAACATAATAGCACCCGAATGGAGGTCCGAGGGGATAAGGAGGAAGAAACAAAACAAACATGCATGCCTCCCAAGGGTGATCTGGTTGCACTTCTGAAGACGACTGAGCGCGACGCCATAGATGAGTTCGTCCGCCACCGTGACGGGTTAGACGCTAAGGTAGAGGACTAGGCACGGCAGCGAGAGAAGCTGCTTCGCTTCGCGCTCTCCGCCACGAGACGGTCGGGGGCCAGCTGGAAAAACCGCGAGGCCGCGGCGTGGAGGCCGCCGCCGTCTCTGTCGCCGTCGCTGTCGCCGCCGTCGTCGGCGAGCAACGACAGCGACGACGACGGCGGCGGCGACCGCGACGGCGACGGCGGCAGCGACGACGACGGCGACGGCGGCAGCGACCTGGGCACCTCCAGGGACGCAGGGACCTGCTGGCTGCTCCTGCTCAGCTGCCCCCTCCGTTTCGCCCTCCTGCTTCCGCTTCCTCCGTCTCAAAAGCCTCCCCCCCTCCTCCCCGGCCCCATTTCCCCCTCCCCCTCCCCCTCCCCGTCCTCCTCCTCCTCCTCCTCCTCCTCCTCGTCCTCCTCCTCCTCGTCGTTCTCCTCCTCCTCCTCCCCCTCCTCCTCCTTGTCTTCCTCCTCCTAGGCGGGGGCTCAACGTTAGGCCGCGTGGGCCAATCCGTTCCTCGGATTACAGCGGGCGCGCAGTGCGCGCGCGTGTCGACTTAAGTACCGCTGGTGTGTAGGTCAGGCGTGGGTCGACGCATGAGCATGCACGGATTGGCCCGCCCGTTCAGCGAAGCACACTGCATGGCAATGGCCATCGCCGCAGCGTTCTGTTTGCATTTCGCTACGCGTCAGTACAAATATCGCGCGACACTGAATACATTCACGTTTTCTATAAGCGATAAGAAAAGCATCGAAAAAAAACGACTGGTTCCCAGACAGATCTGTTGATCTACGACATAGATCCCAATTCGTAGATCTACCAGATAGATCCGTGGATCTACCTGGTAGATCCCGACCGCGTGGATCTACCAGGTAGATCCTTGCAACCTCTGGGTTCAGCATGCCCTTCCCATGCCTCCTTCCAGAGCCCGGGAAATCCTTCGTCTTTTAGCGCAGGGAGCCCGTTCGTGGACCAGCACCCGCTGATGCGCGCGAGGCCCCCCCCCCCTTCTTCCCGGGGCCGGTCGCGCAGAACGAACTCGGGGTCAACCGGCGCCGGCGGCGACGGAGGCAAGCGGCGATGGGCGTTGTTCGGAGGTGAAGCCGGTGCATTTTTCTTTTGGTCTCTCCCTGCCTCCCCCACCCCCCCCCCCTCGCCCCTCTCCCGCGCCTCCCCCCCCTGCTGGCCCTCGCCCCCCCCCCGCCATGGAAGGGGGTTCTCGCTCGCCCCGAGACCGCTGGAGGGGGCGGGGGAGACGAGCAGCAGCGATCCGCCATTGATGATGACGATCAAAACTGCCATGATCCATAGTCTTTGTCGCAATCAGATGTGAGCCGAACGGCCCGCCTCTGCGCGCCCCCCCCCCCCCCCTGCTCACCCCCCGGCCCGCCCGCCCCCGCCTGCCGCCACATTGAAGCAGCGCGCGCGCGATTTCTTCCCCACCCCCCGCCGGGAGGCGCGGCAGAAGCCCAGCGCCATCCCGTGGGGGGGCCGGGCAGAGCAGAAGCTCGCGCGCCCGGTCGTCTCTGCCGGCGCGCGCATATCTTTGCTTGCGCGAGCGCGCGCGCGCAGCCCGCGCGGCAGCGGCGCCGTCAGAGGCGCGACGGATCAGCCGCGGGGGCGCCCCCGGCGGAGACCGACCAGCCGCGCGCGCGCGCCCGCTCGCAATGCTAATCGCGGATGCCGCAGCGCTGGCGCTCAGGACAGACGGAGACGAACGCGCGCGGCGAAACGTCGAGCGGCGCGCGGGGGGCGCAGGCCAACGACGCAAGCGTTGAAGGGAAGGGGAACGACGCCCGGGCCTAGGCCCAGGAGACCAACGCACCAGTGTTATTGGATGAGCCAAGGAAATACGGACACTCAACTCGAATTGCATCACTCAACGCCAGAGGCATGCAGCTTGCGGGGGAGCGAGGCGAAACCGAAGTTTGGATGCGTAGCATCGCTATAGGTGTAGTAGGATTGCAAGATACCAATATAGATACAAACTCAAAAGAGCAGCGAACAAATACCACCCATATTTTTCGGTGCGGGGCGGGGGGGGGGGGGGGGCGGCGGGGCAAAACTGGGGGCGCAGCGCGATTCTCAGCGGGCGCGGGGTTTACGTTTCAAGAGGAACGCGCGAAACACGCATTGGACGCGACCCCCGCGAGCGATCGCATCTGCGCGCTGTCGCTGGCCCGCGCGCTGCCCCCCCCCTCCCATCGAACACAAAACAAACAGGCTGCCTTTCGCTCGAGAGGGGGCTCGCCAGACGCCGGGGCAATGGCCCTGCGCGCGCCATGGGGGACTGGAACGCGAGAGCGCGTTGCGCGACTTCAGACTAGGAGGCAACGGTCATCGGAAAACGCGCTTGATCCAGCAACCGCGAAACCGTTGGGGCGAGCCGAAGATTCCGCGTATAACCGGCGCTTCTCCCTGATTCTGCCGGGCGCATCGGCGAAAGGCAGCGGGCGCATTTGTCCAGGAGGCCTAAAGCAAATTCGCCGCGCACAGAGAAACGGGAACGACGTTGCACAGCCCTTTCAAAAGAGGAACGCGCGAATAATTCGACTTCTTCTTGGCCGCGCAAAGATGGCGCAGCTCTGCCCGCGATTGCGAGGCGGGCACATTGGCCAACATCTCGTCAGGTCACTACCCGCCCACCGCAACGATTCGGATCAAGTTTAAAGCCGTCGACAAATCGCAGCGACCAAGCACCGCCAGATACAGGGAATGCAACGCGCAAGAGCGGACGAGAGTCAACGACTGCTTCCACCAGGCCACGGAGGACATCGGCCATGCGAGGCAAGCCACGAAACGAGCTCGCGCTTCTTCCGAGGGACCGACGCGAGGCCCAACGCCAAACCATCTCACGACGGAGCGACAGACGTCTTGACCAAAGGCAGAGGATGTTGGCCTCCGGCAAACTTGGATGCCTCGCTGCTCTCGCACACGTGTTCCGCAGCAGCCGCCGAGAAGACAGATGGTGCC